AAATATTTTTTGGGGGTTTGATGAGAAGGTCCAAAGTTTCCTTGCCAGGCCCAGGTACCAAACCCTTATGATGTGGTGTCCAGAATAAAGTGGAGGGTTCACTTCACTTGTCCTTCCTGCTGCAATCTCCTTTCCTTCTTCTTCATTTGACACAGTCTTCTTTTTCTTCTGACACTGTCTTCTTTTTCTTCTGACACTGTCTTCTCTCCTCCTTGGCTCCTTCTGCTCCGTTACCTTTCTGCAACTTTCTGCTTATTTTGCTCCCCCTTCTGCTCCTTTCTCTTTCTGATCCCTTTCTGCTCCCTGCAGACCCTTTCTGCTCCTTCTCCTACTTTACCTTTGGTCTCCTTGCTGTCCCTCTCTGCTTCTTGGTACCCTTTTCTGCTCCTTCTCCTACTTTACCTTTGTGCTCCTTCTGATTCTTTCTGATCCTTTACCTTTGTGCTCCTTCTGTCTCTTTGCTGCCCCTTGCAGACCGTTCCTGCTCCTTGCAGACCCTTCCTGCTCATTTCTGTTCCTTCTCCTACTTCACCTTTGTGCTCCTTCTGTCCCTTCCTGCTCCTTTCTGCCATTTTCAGCTCCTTGCTGACCCTTTCTGCTCCTTCTACTTTACCTTTGTGCTGCTTTACCTTCCAGCTCTTTGCTGACCCTTCCTGCTCCTTGCAGACCCTTCCTTTTCCTTGTTGATCCTTCATGCTCCTTGCAGACCCTTCCTTCTCCTTGTTGACACTTTGTGCTCCTCGCAGACCCTTCCTGCTCCTTTCTGCCCCTTCCTGCTCATTTCTGTTCCTTTGTGCTCCTTCTCCTACTTTACCTGTTTTGCTCCCCTTTCTGCTTTTTTTGCCCCCTTTCTGCTTATTTCTATTCCTTCTCCTTTCTGCTCCTTCTTTTACTTTACCTTCCTGCTCCTTGCTGACCCTTCCTGTAGGCTATCTCTGCCCCCCCATGCCTCACTTCCCTGATCTGTAGGCTATCTCTGCCCCCCCATGCCTCACTTACCTGATCTATAGGCTATCTCTGCCCCCCCATGCCTCACTTCCCTGATCTGTAGGCTATCTCTGCCCCCATGCCTCACTTCCTGATCTGTAGCTCTCTCTGCCCCCATGCCTCCTTCCTGATCTGTGGTTATCCTGCCTCACTTACCTGATTTGTAGGCTGTCTCTGCTGGCTGCATGTGCTGCTCCTCTGCAGATTCAGTCAGAGAGAAGTAGGGATAAGATGCAGCTTCCTATCCCTGTCTCTCTCCATACACAGGTCTGTAGGCTATCTCTGCCCCCTATGCCTCACTTCCCTAAACTGTAGGCTATCTCTGCCCCTCCATGCCTCACTTCCCTGATCTGTAGGCTATCTCTGCCCCCCCATGCCTCACTTCCCTGATCTGTAGGCTATCTCTGCCTCCCATGCCTCCGCTTCCTGGTCTGTAGGCTATCTCTGCCCCAATGCCGCTTCCTGATCTGTAGGCTGTATCTCTGCCCATGCCTCCACTTCCCTGATCGCAGGTATCTGCCCCCCTATAATGCCATTGCTAATCTGTGGGCTATCTGCCCCCATGCCTCACTTCCCTGATCTGTAGGCTATCTCTGCCCCATGCTCCTTCCCTGATCACGTGGGCTCTCTGCGCCCCATGCCTCCACTTCCTGATCTGTGGGATATCTCTGCCCCATCTCCACTTCCCTTATCTGTGAGTATCTCTGCCCACCATGCCTCCACTTCCCTTATCTGTGGGCTCTCTGCCCCCCATGCCTCGCTGCCCTTATCTGTAGGCTATCTCTGCCCCCCATGCCTCACTTCCATGTCTGTGGGCTATCTGCCCCCATGCCTCACTTCCTGATCTGGCCAGGCTATCTCTCTGCCCCCCATGCCTCAGCTTCCCTGATCTGTAGGCTATCCTGCCTTTTGTGTCTCACTTCCCTTATCTGTAGGCTATCTCTGCCCCCATGCTCGCTTTCCCTTATCTGTAGGCTATCTCTGCCCCATGCCTCCACTTCCTTATCTGTGGGCTATCTACTCTGCCCCATGCCTCCTTCCTGATCTGTAGGCTACCTCTGCCCCATGCCTCCTTCCTGATCTGTAGGCTACCTCTGCCCCATGCCTCCACTTCCTGATCTATAATGCTCTCTGCCCCCCCCATGCCTCACTTCCCTGATCTGTAGGCTCTCTCTGTCCCCCCCATGCCTCACTTCCCTGATCTGTATGTTATCCCCCCATGCCTCACTTACCTGAGCTGTAGGCTGTCTCTGCTGTGCTGCTCCTCTGTAGATTCAGTCAGAGAGAAGCAGGGATAAGATACAGCTTCCTATCCCTGTCTCTCTCCATACACAGATCTATAGGCTATCTCTGCCCCCCATGCCTAGACTAGTCACTGAGTCTGCCCACCCGAGGTAGCCACGGATTGGAGTGCGGCGAGTAGTGTGTGACCAAAAACTTCTCTTCGCAAAGGGATACAAAGGGGAGGAGACAAACAGGACACAACTTTTACATTTATTGCAAATAAACAGGCATGTAATCCAGACATTTCAAAGCACAGATACAATCAAACCACAAACCCCAAAGCAAACATAGACCCGGAATAATACAACTGCATTCCACAATGCCACGCGCACACGGCGCTATGGCTGAGAATAAAACCCACTGCGCGCTCACTGTGTTATGGACAGATGAATTAAAATAAAATGGCTATTTACTAATGTCTATTTATTCTCTGTTCACTATGTTAAAACTGGCTTCTAGAGTAAATATTCCCTTCCCCCCCTACAATGTGGTCAGCTGCTGTTTACTATGTAAATTCCTCACATCCTGCTAGCCTCCCCTCCCCCACTACCTTTGTGCCAGTTAACAGCTATATGCCATATATAGCTAAATGGAGGATCATTGGTTTAGAACTGATAGATACCACTCACTCCCCCTCCCATCGTGTATCCAAAAGTGTGTAATGATGACACTACATGAATGGCATGAATGGCACCTTAAAAGGCGCCATTCTGTAGGGGGGTTTAAACAAGAGCCCCCTTTCTCTGTTAACCAATTGGTGAATGTATACTGTATGTTTAAACTGTGACGTATTTTTGCTTTAAGAAGGAGCCCCCACTCCGGGGAATAAAGCATTCCTGGGTTTTTCACTGATCAGAAACTTTGTCTCCGGTGTGAATTACTTCTAGGGAAAGCGTGCACGCATTAATTAAACAATTTGGAAGGTGTAGATAGACAAATAATCAAAGTTTTCTTTGATCCAAAACAATTTGGTGGAGAATGCGGGCATGAAAGGGATACGTTACTAAGGCAGCCGTCAGATCCCAAGACAGGAGAGCAAAGGATCCCCAGAGATTGGAAACGGAGCCTGATCACCTCTGCATGTGGTAAATGAGTTACTTACCTATATTTTCCTTTCTTTGGATTTCTCTTGTTCTCCGTGCCTTCACATTCGGCTTCCGGTGTTTAACGTCTTCAGACAGGTAATATATATATGCCCGAATGTCCCCTTTTATATAGAACCTGTCACTTGTCTATCTACAGCCTGAGTCCTGAGTGTGAGTTTTATGTGTGAAAGTGTCTGTTTGAGAATCTGTTTTACTACTTGCTTAATACTGTTATATAATGCTGCCAAGTGTGGTTAAGCACTTGCAGGTTTAGCCAAGTTCGGGTTTGGTGGAAAACCCCTGGCTCTATATTTATTTTAGCTAAGCTTCGGTAAAGAAGTTATTGCGAGACTCGGTCAAGAGTTTAAAAAATAAATAAATAAATAAATAAATAAAATAATTTAAAAAAAAAAAAAAAATGTATTTTAACTAAAACTTCGGTAGAGAAGTTATTGAGGGACTCGGTCAAGAGTTTAAAAATATATTTGGTAAAGGAGCGGTTTATGTGCTTGAGTGTTTCTGTGTGTGTGATTTGAGTTATTATAAGCCGGCATTTATTTTAAGGACTTTGTGATTTAATTGCATCTGAATATTGTGCTTTTGCATGTAAATGTCTTGTCGGGTACCATATATGTTAATTGTTCTATATTTTCTCTGTGTCTTGTAGCGCTCCTATTCTATCTTTTGTACTGAGGAGAGCTGTGCTTAGGCACTTACATGGTTAAATACTTCGTGCTTGCAACTCTGCTTCACCCTCTCCTCCCCCCTCCCTTTTTTTTGCATCACTCTGGTTCTCTGTGCTCTGCTAGGACGTACATGTGACCTTGATGCACGTTTCCCTTAATCTATAACTCCTAAACCTCTCTCTCTCTCTCTCTCTCTCTCCCTCTCTTTCTCTTTCAGTCAGTCTCTTTCTCTCTCTCTATCCCTCTCTTTCTCTTTCAGTCAGTCTCTTTCTCTCTCTCTATCCCTCTCTTTCTCTTTCAGTCAGTCTCTTTCTCTCTCCTTCTCTTTCTCCTCCTAAACCCCTCTCTCTCTCTCTCTCTCTCTATCCCTCTCTTTCTCTTTCAGTCAGTCTCTTTCTCTTTCCTTCTCTTTCTCCTCCTAAACCCCTCTCTCTCTCTCTCTCTCTCTCCCTCTTTCAGTCAGTTTCTTTCTCTCTCTCTATCTCTCTCCTTCTCTTTCAGTCAGTCTCTCTCTCTTCCTAAACCTCTTTCTCTCAGTCTCCCTCTCACCTTATCTCCCTCAGCCTCTTACTCACTTTCTCCTACACTCTCTCTCTCTCTCACTCTTTTTGTCTCCCTTACTTTCACACTCTTCCCCCACTCTCTCGCTCCCTCATTCTCTCTACCTCAGTCTCTCTCTCTCTCTCTTTCTCTCTCTATCTCTCAGTCTCTCACTCTCTTTTGGTCCAGGGTCTGCTTCTCTCTATCCATACCACTGTTGTGTATAAATGGGTCAAACTAATGTTAGCCCCTCCCGGGGTCGGTTAGCATGTGACCTTGTAAAGGAAAGAGCTGGGGACTTAGCTGTAGCCAAACTTAAGAAAATTATTAAACTGTGTGGTATTACTATGTCCCACAGTGGCATATTGCAGGCGGAAGACTGGAGGAAACTTTTAAACGATAAACATGGGATATTGTTAGATAATGGGTTAATGAAGGCCGCAGATTCTTGGTATCGGGTGGCTCGAGGGATTAAGAAGGAGGGGTGGATTGAGGAGGAGATAGACCTAGAGGGGAAGAAAGTCTTTGTATATCATGAAAAAGGTTGTTTTGTTGAATCTGTTGAAGGCGTTTCCAGCCCTCCTCCATATGATAAGGCCTGGCCAGAAAGGGGGGTGGCTCAACCAGCCCCTGGAGCCCCCACACAGCCCATTCATGTTAACACATGCTCTCCAGCCCCTGCTGCCTTGTACCCTGTCCTTAAGGCAGACGGTTCATGTTACTTTCCAGCCCCCTCTCCTTCTCCACTCCAAATCCCAGTCACACATTCCCTTCCTGTTTCTTTGCCTCCTCCTCCCTTGCCCATCTCTGCTGCTACACCCTCTCTTCCAACTCCTGTTGCTTCTGTCCACGCCCAATTCCTTTCACATCTCCCTATAACTTCTGCCCTTTCACTGTCACCATTTCCTGTTTCTAACACACCCATCCCTTCCATGATGGTAACTTCCCCTACCAACACCCCTGTGGTCGCTTCCTCCCTCCCTTCTGTATCCTCTTCCATTCCGGCCCATCTCATAACTGCCCCCAGTGTATCTTTCCCTATTATGACTATTGGATCCACTGTTCCTGCAGCATCAGGCTATCCTCCTGCTGCTACCCCTGCAGCATCAGGCTATCCTCCTGCTGCTACCCCTGCAGCATCAGGCTATCCTCCTGCTGCTACCCCTGCAGCATCAGGCTATCCTCCTGCTGCTACCCCTGCAGCATCAGGCTATTATCCTGCTACCTCCACTGCTACATCAGTCACTTCTCCCCCTGCCTCACAACTTGATTCGGTCCACATTACTCCTACAGTTAGTCACCCTGCGGCCAGTACTACTGTTGGACCGATTTCAGTTCTTCCTGACATGGCTTGTGTATCCAGCCAACAGATTCCCATTCCCCCTGCTGATGGTAGTGTCCAGGGGGTGCAGTCTCCACAGACCCCGACTAATCTGCCTCACATTGCCATAGCAGGTGCTTGCAGTACCCAGCATGATCAGGAGGGTGCCCCTTTAATGTATGTTACCTTCAACCCGTCCCAAGCTGCAACACTAGTACACTCACTCCCTGACCCTGAGAAACAGCCCATGCCCTTTTTCCGTCGGATTGTTCAAATCCGTAAAACTTACTCTGCAGCATGGCGTGATTTGTTTAGTCTGTGTGAAATTAAGGCAGGGGATGCTTACTGGCCCATAATGGAAAAGAGTTTTGATGATGCCCGTCTCACTACAGACACGGATTATCAGTCTGGTATCACATTTTGTGAACAACTCCGTGCATGGGCTCAAGATAAGTTGACTGATCAGGCTACTTCTATTGCTGATATTGTTCAAGAAAAATCAGAAACGGTTGAAAGATTTCATTCCAGGTTAACTCAAACCTTTTCCGATCTGGGTTTCAATACATGTAATAAGGCCCACACCCAGATGCTATCAGCCGCTTTCGTTGCAGGCCTTAAAGAACCTATAAGGAAAGGCCTGGTCCTGTCCCGTCCCGAATTCAGGATAATTCCCATGGATACTCTCCTCCTGGTCGCTAAAGGCCTGGAGTCGATCCAATTGCCCCAGCACAAGAAATCCACTCCTTTAATGTTTACATTACATGACCCTGCAATTACACCTGCCCCTGTTGGGTTCCCTGTTACCACACTACCGGGCCCTTTCATGACTCAGGTTCCAAGACCACAAGGTCGAACTTGTTTTCACTGTAAGCAACTAGGTCATTTTAAGAAGGATTGTCCAGGTTTTCCAGCACCTCGGCAGCGCACACAGGCTCTACGGCCACCGTATCCTGTGGCCGGTTATCCTCCTACTCAAGCGCTAGGTTATCCGACACATGATTCCAATTATGCTAACTATACTACTTATTATCCGGATGACCGAGCCTCAGCCAATTATCTGCCCTCTAATCGTCCTATGCCTAGACACCGACGCCCTGCACAGCATGCTCAACAACCATACTACCCAACTACACCTACACGTACATATCCTGGTCCTGACCAGTCTCATATTGATCTTGTCCAATAGGTAACAGGCAAACCTGTGTCCAATGCCCCTGTCATGGCAGTGTATACAGGGGCTACAGCTACAGTGGTCCTACCTGTGGAAGGCTGCCCAACCACCTTCTTAGTTGACACAGGCGCAGCCCGTAGCGTACTTAGAGCATGTGACCTGCCTGACGATTCCTTTCTCTCTAATATAGATGTTTCCTGTATAGGTGTAGACGGTACCCCTCGTAGCAACCCATTAACTAAGCCCTTACGGGTGGGTACTTTCCCTGATCTCCTTACTCGTTTTGTAGTGTCTCCCTCTTGTCCTCTTAATTTGTTGGGAGCTGATGTTCTGTCCCGCTTACAGGCCTCCATCTCCTTTACTCCAGATGGCAAGGTTCAGTTATTGACCCCTCTCTCCAGTGAAGATACCTCAGCCCTTTGTTCTTTACCCCTCCTACTCCACATGGAATCACCCCATGGAAATGCAAGGGTCCTAGACAACTCCCCCAGTGCACTTGACAGAGTTCCTGTGCAACTGTGGTCTACTGGTCCCGATGATATTGGACGACTTAAAGTCCCTCCGATATTTGTGCAGTTACTCCAAGGAGCAAGTCCGCCCAGAAGACCACAATATCCATTGACACCTGCTCAGGCCCTCTCTATCTCCAAACAGGTTGAAACTCTGCTGGCTGCGGGTGCACTGATTAAATGTGTGTCGCCTTGTAACACTCCTTTGTTTCCAGTTAAGAAAAAGACCGAAAAGGGCGAACCGGACAAGTACAGGATGGTTCAAGACCTCAGAGCAGTTAATGATGTTACCGTCTTGGAAACTCCCATTGTTCCAAATCCTCATACTCTTCTATCCCAGGTCCCTCCTTCAGCTAAATTCTTCACGGTGGTGGATTTGGCCAATGCCTTCTTCAGCGTGCCTTTGCATCCCTCTTGTCAATACCTGTTTGCATTTACCCATGACCGCCAACAATATACCTGGACAGTCATGCCCCAGGGAGCACAAAATTCCCCAAGCCAGTTTGCAAGAGCCATGGCATACATCCTGGAACCATGGCAGAAATCTCACACAGAGGTGGTCCTCCTGCAATACGTGGACGATCTCCTTCTCTGTGCTGACGATCTCCCGACTGCAGAATGTGTCTCTGAAGATTTCCTCTGTTTCCTGGCCGCCCAAGGTTGTAAAGCATCTAAGAAGAAATTGCAGTGGTGCCGACCCTCGGTGATATTTTTAGGGCATTGTCTTTCTCATGGCACCCGGCACCTTACTAGAGACAGAGTGCGGGGTATCACATCACTCTGCCCTCCATCGGCTCACAAGTCCCTCCATGCCTTCCTAGGTCTTATCTCTTACTGTAGAGCCTGGATTCCTGAAGCCTCTACACTGATGCAGCCACTCTACGATGCACTCAAAACTGAACCGTTTGATTTATCTCCTGAAGCCCTTACCAACTTCTTCGCATTACGACGTGCTGTTACTGCTCCTGCTCTGGGCCTTCCCAATTACGAGAAGCCCTTCAAGCTCTTTGTCTACGAAAAAATGGGACATGCATCTGGTGTTCTCACTCAGTCTTATGGGTCTCGTCAACGTCCAATAGGGTATTACTCCTGTCAGTTGGATCCTGTGGCCAGGGGAGGACCCTCCTGTCTTCGGGCTGTATTTGCGGCAAGTGCTCTACTGGACAAGACGTGTGACATAATCCTTGGTCACAAGCTAACCATTCTCGCCCCCCATGATCTTTCTGCAATATTGAATCAAGTTCAACCTAAACATCTATCTACTCAAAGGCATCTTCGTCTCCAAACAACTTTAATGTTACCCGATAATGTCTCCTTACAGCGATGTTATACTTTGAATCCTGCCACTCTTCTGCCGCTTCCCAAGGGGGGAGTACCACACTATTGGTACGGTCTGAACATAGATCCTGATGCCTTCCTTGATCTGGATGTCCATATGCCCACAGTACCACACGATGAACAGCCATCTCCTCTATGGCATTGTACTTTGTGGTTCAGAGACGTTCCGGGGCCTGACCCTCAGTATGAAGAAGAACTGTTTCAATTGATTGAAGTACGCCTCACCTTGACAGACATATACTGTGATACAAAAGGTAACACTGTAGTGTTAGTTCAATTACCCACAGAAGTGGCCATACTGAAAGTAAAAGCCCATGGAAGACGGAATTCGGAAGAAACATATGGCAATCATAAAGCTGACCAAGCCGCCAAAGATGCTGCATGTCAATCAAGGGAAGTGGACAGAAGAGTGTCCGGTGAGGAAATTCCTATTTTTCCCATGCAAACCTTACCTACAGACCTCAAGTTTTTGAAAGAACAGCAAGCAGCTGTAAGTCCTGAAGAAAAGCAAAGCTGGAAACAGAAAGGAGCAACCTTGCAGGATGGAGTATATACTAGCAATCTCAAATTTTGTCTACCTAAATGTATGTATCCGGCTGTGGTACAGTGGGCCCACGGAGCAGCGCACTTGTCTAAGACACTCATGAACTCTTTAATTGCTAAATATTTTGAAGCACCAGGTATTACCACTCTGACTAAAACCTACTGTAAGTCTTGTGCTATCTGTGCCAAGTGCAATCCGGGAAAATTGGAGAAAGTGTTCCCCAAACACCTGGCGAAGCCACACTACCCATTCCAGAGAGTCCAAATTGACCACATTCAGATGCCAAAGAGTGGCCGGTATGAATATGCCCTAGCTAAGGTAATTATGCCTATACACATAATCTCTGATGGACACCAAGATAACCCAGGTACATCACACCAATACTCTAGAATAAAGAGAGATACTCCTGTAAAAGGCAGTTTTGATCCTCATATTTACATAGATGCCATAGGAGTGCCAAGGGAGGTGCCGAATGAGTTTAAAGCAAGAGATGAAGTGTCCGCAGGGTTCGAATCTATTTTCCCAATCATCACGGCCAATAAAAATTTAAATTGGATCAATTACATCTATTATAACCAACAACGTTTTGTAAATTATACAAGAGATGCCCTCCAAGGTTTGGCGGAACAATTACAAGCTACTTCCCAGATGACCTTCCAGAATAGAATGGCCTTAGACATGATCCTGGCGGAGAAAGGGGGAGTATGTAAAATACTCCCAGACATCATGACATGCTGTACCTATATTCCAGATAATACAGGCCCTAATGGTAAGGTAACGTTGGCAATAGAAAAGTTAAAGAGTTTGTCCAATGAACTGAAACGAAATTCTGGGGCCACAGATCCATGGGAAAGATGGTTTGGATGGATGTCTGGATGGCAAGGTGCTTTGGCCCAAATAGGTGTTGCCATTTTAATAACGATAATCATCCTTGCTCTTCTTGTTTGTTGTGTGTTACCCTGTCTTAAGAAATGCCTACAAAAGACAGTTGATCAGACAATCGACCAGACCACCCCGACCTTCCTTCACCAAGAGATTGACGATATCGACCGTGATACACCACATACACCCTTACAGTCCCACCGCACTAAATCAACAGCTACTTCCTCTTAAGGACATTTAGGGATAGCGTCTGTCTCTACAGGCAGAAGTCTGCCGCGGGAGAAGTAGTGGACAAGCTGCTATGGGGTACCCACGCAGTGAAGTGTTCGAGGCCTGTTCAGACAGATGTGCAAGATAGCCTTTTGTTATTTTTCTATAGGGACAGTATTAGAATGAGAGATAGTAGTTTTAGTAAAAATTGCCATTTTAAGGGGGGACTGTTATGGACAGATGAATTAAAATAAAATGGCTATTTACTAGTGTCTATTTATTCTCTGTTCACTATGTTAAAACTGGCTTCTAGAGTAAATATTCCCTTCCCCCCCTACAATGTGGTCAGCTGCTGTTTACTATGTAAATTCCTCACATCCTGCTAGCCTCCCCCCCCCACTACCTTTGTGCCAGTTAACAGCTATATGCCATATATAGCTAAATGGAGGATCATTGGTTTAGAACTGATAGATACCACTCACTCCCCCTCCCATCGTGTATCCAAAAGTGTGTAATGATGACACTACATGAATGGCATGAATGGCATGAATGGCACCTTAAAAGGCTCCATTCTGTAGGGGGGTTTAAACAAGAGCCCCCTTTCTCTGTTAACCAATTGGTGAATGTATACTGTATGTTTAAACTGTGACGTATTTTTGCTTTAAGAAGGAGCCCCCACTCCGGGGAATAAAGCATTCCTGGGTTTTTCACTGATCAGAAACTTTGTCTCCGGTGTGAATTACTTCTAGGGAAAGCGTGCACGCATTAATTAAACAATTTGGAAGGTGTAGATAGACAAATAATCAAAGTTTTCTTTGATCCAAAACAATTGCGCTACAGCTAACAATAATCCCCAC